TGTTAGATATGATTATATGAATACTTTGTTCGTGTGAATTAGATTTAGCTAGCTTAGTCCCATCAACAACTCTGTTCTTTTTGTCAGGATTAGAAGAAGACCACATAAAAAGCCAATTTTGCCCTTCAATTTCACGGTCAAGTGACGGATTCATTGACGGAGGACCAAAAGTGTCCAACGACCAATAACAGTGGCTATTAACTGGCAATTTTAATTATGGAGGATGAAAATTGTCGACACCCTAATAAGTCTAGGACCAAAAATGGCATTAACTCTTTACTTTGATGAAAAAATTGATAATTTTGTGTTGATATACATCAGGATACCGAATAATACTTTGATAAATTCTAAAACACTAATTTAAGAATACACATTGGACATCAGATAAAGGTGTACAGCGCCAAAGCACTAAAATTGCAGTGAAACACTTGTCTTTTTTATCTTTTTTTTTTTTTTTTTTTTTTTTGGATCAATGAGGAAGGGGACACCCATAAAATGTACATAGCTATACATCATGTACTTGTCGCCAAACCGGAATGCCAAATTGGTCTTCTCCCAAGGTTTTCTCAATCTCTACACAAGGGTGGTCAAAGATAATAGTTCTGCATGGATAGCAAGGCATTTTGGCTAACTAATCTGCAACTTGATTCTGGTCTCGTGCGATTAAGGAAAGATGCCAAACTCCAATATTTTCCAGTTCCCTTCTACATGCAAACAGAATGTTGTCAGCCACACTGCTTACTTTAGTGTGCCGGTTTATAGCCTCAACTATCTTGCTATAGTCGGACTCAAAACAAACTCGACTGCACCCTATCAACACTTGTTAACTTTTTTGTGTTTTATTATACTTATACTTCTATATATACATATATACATACAAAGAAAATATAGGGGTCGTGGTGGGGAGAGTAGGGGCACCTGCCTCCACTGTCTCCATACTGGGTCCGTACCTGTGTCGTGTGCAATATCTTAATTTGAGTCTTTTTTTTTTTCAAGTCTAACAATCATCTTGATCTTATGAAGATTAGCATCTAACAAATTTTCATTTGCATCATCATTTTGCTCATCTATAGGGACAATCCGGGTCCCTCCTTCTCATCAGCGTACTCATCATCCGAGGCCAACTCCACTGGGATGTCATCCGCCTTCTTGCTATACTGCAAAAAACTTCTCAGACTTGCCCACCGGCGGTGGTGGATTGGCATCCTTCATCTGTTGATCGATTGGTTGCTCGACTGGGGTTTCCGGTAGTTTGTCGGCATCGATGCTCTGCGAGAGGGAGTCGTGGAGTTTGGATTTCTTTGTATTTCGTTCAAGAAGATCTTGAACTTCCGGCGACCTTTGCCTGGCCTCCGGCGAGACTACTCAGAAAGCATTTCGACAGACTATGGCAAGTGTTGCACAGTCTTTTTATCTTTTTAATAAATCCCAATACATTTAACATATTATTATTTCCTTAAAAAAAATAATTCCAAATCTCAATTTCAACCAAATATTTTGCAAGTTTGGGCTCTCCAAAGTCCAAATATAATCTCAATTGGGTCGTAACTCTTTAAAAATAACAAGTGTTGGGTGTTGTGGACTTGTTACGGTATCTTTTATATTATTTTAAAATCAAGCCCACGTATAGAATTATGGCAAATTATTCTTCCAAAAGGCTGAACCCCAACCCTAAGGGCCCCCACACCCCGGCCCGATAGAGCGGTGGGAGGTTGTAAATCATGGTGACTCAACTGAACATTAATCACAGAGGCTACACCGGTGCTCACTGCGCACAAGGAGCCCCCCTCACTTTGAGAGGTTGCTCCCACACTGCCGCTGGTGAGACTCGATCTCTGGTCATTCTTCCAAAGTTTCACCTCTATGACCAGTTGAGCTACCCATGCGGGAATTATGGCAAATTATGTTGTGCATTCGTATGCACCATGCAAAAAGGACATCGTTTTGCATCAAAACGCGCGTTCTACTTTTAAAAAAAAAATCAGTTGAGTCCCAGCAACAACATTATGTTATTCATTTTTTAGTTCATTCATTCTGGATTTTTAGTTATGAAATTCTGGATTTATAGTTATGCAATTCTGGATGTATAGTTATGAAGTTATGGATGTGTAGTTATGTAATTCTGGATTTATAGTTATAAAGTTATGGATGTGTAGTTATGCAATTCTGGATTTAATGATTTATAGTTATGAAATTATGGATGTGTAATTATGCAATTATGGATTTATAGTTATGAAATTATAGATGTGTAGTTATGTAATTCTGGATGTATAGTTATGAAATTATGGATGTGTAGTTATGCAATTTTGATTTTTTTTTTTTTTTAAAGTTAGACGTCAAAACGACGTCATTTTTGCATTCGGATGCACCATGCATGGTGCATACGAATGCAAAAACGACGTCGTTTTATTAAAAATGCGCATCCCACTTTAAAAAATTAGTTTCGATTCCCAGCAGCAGCATTATGTTGTGCATAATTTGAACTATATATCCAGAATCAATGAACTAAAAATCCAGAATCAATGAACTAAAAATCTAGAATCTATGAACTAAAAATACAGGATGAATGAACTAAAAATCCATAATGAATGAACTAAATATCTAGCATGAATGAAAAAAATCAGTTTCGATTTACGTCTAAATATCCAGAATCAATGAACTAAAAATCTAGAATCAATAAACTAAAAATCTAGAATCAATGAACTAAAAATTCAGAATCAATGAACTAAAAATCCAGAATCTATGAAATAAAAATCCAAAATCTATGAAATAAAAATCCAGAATGAATGAACAACATAATGTTGTTGAGGGGATCGAAAATGAATTTGTTTTTTAAGTGTGGCGCGCGTTTTTAGTCAAAACGACGTCGTTTTTGCATCCGTATGCACCATGCATGGTGCACACAGATGCACAACATAACGATCCTAGAATTATGGTAAATTATATTGCGGATCACGGATGATGTTTATTTTTAGTATTAGTTTTACACGCGCATTGCGCGAATGAATTAATGCTCAATGTTTATACTTAAATAAGTATTTGAAAGTATATCAATGCAAGATTATATATGAGAAGTTCATACATAAGTAATTGAATGTCGAATTTATTTATTTAAATATGTAACACAAAGTATATGAATACAAGATAATATAGGAGATTCATTATAATTGTCATTAAAATAAATGTTTGCAACTTTATAAAATCGATAGTCTAACTACTTAGTCTAAAAATAGTAGTATAAATAAATACTACATTTGGTTTGAATTTCTCTAAGTATTCGTAATTCTTGTTTCAGTAGCATTGTCGGTGTCTTCATCATCTTCACTATTTGTTCTCTTGTTTTTTGGGTTTTACTATGAACTATTGATCTTACACGTGCATGTTGAATTTTGCAGTAGTGATAGTTTTTGCCCTACATGTTTCATGTGGAAGTATTGTTTAGATAATAACAATAATAACTCTGTAGATAGCCCGAATACTGATGTTGTGTGTGTTTTTTTTTTTTAAAAAAAATTATTGAATTGATACTAACCTTGGAGTTAAATTGTTTTCCACTTGGTGCAAAAACGTTTTTTTTTAAATAGTAACCAAGTATTTTTGTTGCGAAGGTTTCTAATATATTTAATGAATACACATACAAGATCAATGAATGAATTAATACCAGTCCTTTAAGTGTAACTCGAATATATTGGATTGGTAAATATGATGTAACCCAAAGGTCAAAACACTAAAGAAAGTGTTTGGTTGCTCAACAATTTGGAGCAACAATTTGTTCCAAACCAATGAAAATACAAACACTACAATTTACAACGTTTTCACTTAGCAATTTGGAGATTGATTTCCCCAAAACACCCCTATATTTAAAAAAAAAAAATGTTTACTATAGAGTCGTTACGACTCTTTAACATGGCGTTTGGTTAGAAAAAAGGAATTGTGAGGGAAAGAAATTGTAATTCGGCGAGAAAAGAATAAGATGAGAATAAAGTAGAAATTGACCTATAATGGTTCCAAAACACTAACAAACACTGTAAAACATTCAAAACAAGTGTAAACCATAACTTAATGATAAAACAAGGGAAAATGCAAGCAAAGTAACATTTTGGTGAATTAAATCCCAACAAATATAATCAAACTAACACTAGAAACATGTACAATTTGGCTTATATCACAATTCCAGCAAAACACGTGTCCCACGTAGTCCCTGTCTGTCAACTGCTTCAACCACCACACCCTGCCGCCAAACGCCACGTGGCGACCTGCCTGAGCCCCTCGTAGATCGTCCGCGAGGGGCATGGTGACCAGGCGCGTGACCAGCGCGCCTGGTCACCCGGGGTGACATGGTGCGCCACTGGGGGGTGCAACCGGCGCACCGCTTTGCACCCTGTCTTGCACCCCACTCTTTTGGGCCTTGCTCCAATTTAATTAAAACCGCGAGTTAATGCTCAATTTGGTCCCTCAACTATTATAATTTTACCAATTTGGTCCCTCAACTATTATAATTTTACCAATTTGGTCCCTCAACTATTAGAATTTTATCAATTTGGTCCCTCAACTATTAGAATTTTACCAATTTGGTCATCAACTACCAAAGTTGCTCAATTTAGTCCCTAACTATATAATTTTTTCCTAAAATTATCTCTTGACTATTAGGATTTCACCACTTTGGTCCTCGACTACTAAAGTTGCTCAATTTAATCCCTACTATGCAATTTTTACTTAAAATGGTTCTTCAACTATTAGGAGTTCACCACTTTAATCCTCAACTACCAAAGTTGTTTAATTTAGTCCCCAACTATATAAATGTGGACCATAAAATAAGATGAAAGAATATTTTTAATTTAAGAAAAATAAATAAACCTTGAATTTTTTAAACTTCAGAGTTTTGGTCTTTTGGAGGGGTTTGAGTGTTTGACGTTTGACGGTTTGAGCTTATATACATTTCGACCCGTAAAAGTGCGCCGAACCCGAACCGTTTCTTTAACGGGGCTTCTATAAAATGGCGGACTGAGCTGCAAACTAGGGTTTCTTTTGTTACGCCTCTGTCAACTTGGATTCCCCCTTCTTTTCGCGGCCGAGCCTCCATCACCGATCAGCGAAAATGGTATCTCTCTCTCTTTGCTTTTTATATACAGGCGCCTATATGTTCGTTTAAGCGTGGAGGTAATGAATTGGATTACAATGTATTCTGATCTTTTTCCCAGGATGATTGATGATGTTTTACTGTTTGCTAGAGCATAAACTGTGCATTTTTGGGTGTTAACTTTGTTGTTGAACTGCTAGTTTAAAATTCGCAAGCTCTATGATAGATCTCTGCCTGTGGGTATTTTTTTTGGTTCTTAAAGTTTATATGTCTACTGTGGTAGTGGTTTCTTTAATGTATGCTAAAGACTGGGCTGTTTTTATGTTGTTGTTTTTAATGTGACTCCAAAATGGAATTTGATGGACCAATCTTGAAAAAAGGACTAAAAATGCAATTTGCTCTACTAGAAAAGTTCATGATCTTGAACTATGATTTTTGTTTATGATATATGTTGTGAATAATCTATAGCATATTGCAATTTGAGTGAACTATTGACTTAAATAAATTGAGATGTATCAGGCAGAATGATATTTTCTGGGCTTGTAGACAGTTGATTATTTACTTTTCTATCTGAATATAGTTAAATGGGTACTAAAACTGTTCCAAATTATTTTTTTTACTTTCCTTTGGTTGGTAAAAGATTGTGGTTCAATCTCTTCAATGCCACTTGGTAGGAGTGGATAGCTGTCTTGTTAAAATGCTCTCGAGAATGTTATGCTGATATTGCAATTTCATGCTAACCTGTTGTAAAATTCATTCGCTAGCATCAGAAGTTGATATCATCATTAATTTTTGTGCAGACTAAGAGGACGAAGAAGGCCGGTATTGTTGGAAAATATGGTAAATTGCAATTGTTTATTCTAACTCTTGTCTTTAATATGTGCTTTTATGGCCTTGTGCATTTTGATTAACAGCTTTCAAATTCTTGTGTTTTTACCTTTCTTTCTCTCTAATATTTCTTACTGAGATGTGTGAATCTATGCCAAATGTTTTATTTAATGTCAATCTTGCAATCTTTGAGTTTTGCTGATAATCTTATGACTTCTATAAAGGTACCCGCTATGGTGCTAGTCTCCGTAAACAGATTAAAAAGATGGAGGTCAGCCAGCACAGCAAGTACTTCTGCGAGTTTTGTGGGAAGGTACGAGTGTATGGTTTCTACAATACACATTATTTAGTAACTGTTAGAGGCTAACAACATGATCTGTTTGAGCATACACAAGACTGTTATGAATCATGAATTTTGAGGATTCTGACGTGATCCTTGCTATGAGTGCAGTATGCAGTGAAGAGAAAGGCCGTAGGAATATGGGGCTGCAAGGATTGTGGGAAGGTCAAAGCGGGCGGGGCATATACCTTGAAGTAATTCATCTGCCCTTTCTAATTTTTCACTCTCCCCTTGCGACTTCACAAATACCTAATAATCTCACTTTTTTTCTTAATTTTGTTTTTTAATATCTGCAATAGCACTGCTAGTGCCGTGACGGTGAGAAGCACAATCAGAAGACTCAGGGAGCAAACTGAGAGTTAAGCCATCACAAGTTTCTGTCTGAATTTTGAGATTAGACTCATCACTTATGTAGTCATTTTTCCATTTTGCTTGCATTTTTTGGGTTATTTTCAGACAACTATGACAAATCTTCTGCCTCAATGGATTTTAAACAATTATGACAATTTTTCCCTTCCTACCAAAAAAAAAAAAACCTTGATCAAGAATGTTTCTGGTAGTTAGTGGTTTCGTATCAAATATGGTTTCATATCAAAGAAGTTTCAAGCTTTGATAGGCAATCGTAGCCGTGTTAGTTGGATAAATAGTTTAGTAACTACAACTCTACAAGGTTTCAAGTTTAACTCTCTATGGGAATTATTCATTAGCTTTTTTTTATATTAGTTGATCAATTAACAAGAAATTAGTCTGGTTTACCTTTTGTAGTCTTTTGCTTGCTAGGTTAACGAGGTGAGTTTTACCAAAAATGTACTTTTAGATAATGATTGTGAACTTTCTCATAAATTAAAGTTTCAAATTTTGTCAATTTCAAATCAAATACAAAAATAAATGTGAATATATTAAAGTTTCAAGTTTTCCCAACTTCAAATCAAATATACAATAATAAATGTGACAAAATGTGGTAGAAAAGTGGCTTGTATACGGTTCGGGAAGGGAAGCACTAAGTTGGTTAAAGGACATATGTCAGACTGTTACGCGAGCCGGAAGGAACAAATAATACATCTTTTGGATTCATTATTGACGATATTCGTGCGCCGCTGCGTCTTATGCCTTTAGCTAGATTTCGGTTTGTGCCTCGTGGTATTAAATGGTAGCTCGCGTTTTGACTAGACATGTTCTTAGTTGAACAATCATTTTTAGGAATTTCGAAGGATTGCCCTTCATCTACTAAAGCAATATTTCACTTTCTGTACCTTTGGTATGACACAACGAAAACATACAAAATAAAAAAACTAATAGAAGAGAACAAAACCAATCAACCTAAAACATGCAATAGAAGCAAAACTAGATAGAAGCCAAATCTTCAATGGTTATGAAAGCACATTCAGAAACACAACTATGTGGAGCAGCCAAAAAAAATTTGTAGCTTTGTTAAATGACACTATCCGTAATAATAAAATATTAAAATCGCAGGATCTTTAATCAAATACATGGTCAAGAACAACAAAGAGCTCAAAGGGAAATTGCAATATGAAAAAAAATGTTATAAAACCAAAGGTACAAGCTTAATCAATAGCATTAAGCGCATATATATAGCTCAAGTTCCTTTCTATTTCCAATATGTTCCAAAGCCTTTGAGGAGAAATGAGCCTATAGCTATGATGTGAAAAGTAACCCTTACTCCGGCAGGTTCATGGCTTGTGGACCTTGAAACCAAATACTCGAGGAACATAGCTCTGAGAAGACTTCTGTGGCTTCAGATGTCCATATGTCAGTAGGAAAAGGTGTGGAAATGTCGTTCCAAAATAAGCGCCATCAATACCTTAAGAGAGTAAAGGAAACGAAAAAAAACAATAATGTGTAGTGTGGATTCACTTGAGATATTAAATAACAATCAATTCAATAGTTCCCCACCCAACCAACAAGCAAAAAATAAAAAATAAATATAAGAGAGGAACAGAAAGCAGAGCAGTAGCAAAAGTTTATGAATTGCAAAAGAAACTATCATATATTGATTAATATCTCAAAAAAAATGGGAAGGATACTGTCTTGATAGCGAGATCGAGGAGTGTATAACTCTTCACACCTCGGGCAGTAAATTTTCACCGTACTCTGTCGAGGAATATCTGACTGACCAACAGGGAGGCATGGTTGACCACAGCAGTAAACTCTTGGGCATCTTCCAAATTCAGCATTCTTGTACTTCTCTAGCTGCAAAAGGCAAGATAGTTCCATTATCAAGGCTATGACAACGTGAATATGTATTATTGATTCTCACCATAGCAGCAAGTCCTTTCGTTGTCAATATGTATCGGACATGTATTAGACCATAAAGCATTTCAGCTGCTGACTCAACGATTTCATTCTGCTCTTCTGTAAACATATCACCTACATGTATCAGCCATTCCAATCAATTACAGGAGCAATCGATAACCTAAAGGATCAAAATCAGGGTAAAAAAAGATACAATCTATAAAACTCAAGTTCAATTACAAAGAGTGTCTTATTTGCTAAAACTTCTAGTGTCACAGAACTTGCAAACTGAAGTAGCATGTATCAGCCATTCCAATCAATTACAGGAGCAATAAGAAATCAGGGGAAAAAACAAAACAATCTATAGAACTCAAGTTCAATTACAAAGAGTGTCTTATTTGCTAAAAGTTCTAGTTTTACAGAATTTGCAAACTGAAGTAGCTTTTGGAAATATGACAGAAAAACATTTGTAACAAGTAAATTATAATGATTGGTTGAAACTTGAAAGGCTACAGGTCATTTTGTGCACTATGGTTGTCACAGAAGGCAAACTATTGCTTAAGCTGTGGAGAACACTTGGCTAAATGCACGTGTTAAATGAAAACTTCTCACAGAATGACAAAACAGTAACTTATCAATAAGGACATCTCATAATAAACTAATTAGTCAATCTTAGCTTGTACATGGTAGGAAAATACAAGTCAAAAACAATCCAATATGAAACATGAATAAAGAAATCAAAGTCACCAGAACTCAATGGCATAGCTCTTAAGTATTATCAATATTTTCTTCAAGGCAATATCACAATGAGATTTCAACATTGTAATGGAAAAATAATCTCATGAGCAGTGTTGCAAAAATCGCGCCTAAGCGGTCGGCCTCCTAGGCGCCCTAGGCGGTCCCCAGGCGCCTAGAGGGCGCCTAGCGATTTTTTCAACATTGCTCATGATTGTGATATATTAGAACTTTTTCTTGACCTATTGTCCTCTATGAACTTATGAAGTAATGATCTCTCTCTCTGTCACTTAATAAAATCTTCTATATTATCTAATAAATAAATATACAGTAAAATTGAACCACCCCAAGTTGACAGAGATAAAACTATCTCATAAGAGATATCAAGGTCACAGACTCATAGCATGTGAGCATGTCATACATTATAAAAGAGCAAGTGCATCTAAGTTTCAATTAATCTGATCAAAGTAAACCAACCGTGAGAAGATTCAACATCCAAAATCAAATCGAGTGCATAATCATAATATGGAACTAGGCTGCTAAGACCACAGAGGTTAAAGTCATCTTGGATGTAGTCATCGTCAACTTCACAGAAGAACTCATTCCCACGTAGATTGCAATACCATGAAATCCATGATGTATCTTCACCATCAGAACCACTAATATCTGACTCCTCACTGTCTGTTTCAGATTCCACTGCCAAATGAAAAGCATCAGTAGATAATTTAATAAGATATTTAGATAAATCTATGGCTGTACAAGAATAGGGAAGATATATATCCAAATGTTACTAATGCACATAGCATTTCCTTGAAGATGAATATGCTCAGATATATATAACCAAGCTAGAACAGAAAATTTAATACGAGAAATAAACATGATGGTTGTGTAGCAACATCACAAGCCCAATAGATAATTGAACATAAGCTCTTTATATTTAAAATTGGAGAGTTCCATAGGATTTTAAGGTTCACTACCCTCATCAAATTGATTGTTGAGGTTTCATATAACAAAATCTAGTTCAGCACTGGGAAAGGTGGCAAGAAGAACAGACACGAGTCAGGATTGCTTACTAACATATTGTCTCCGTCCACAAGATACTCCTATTTTCAGACTAATTATGGCAAGTCTTATTTTTATCTACTCCTATGGCTAAGAGGTGAGACTTCATCTCATCAATTCTCTATTTTTTTCTTACGAAATGTCAGAATAAGCTGGAATAAGTAAATATTTTAAAATTCACTTCTAGTATTGGAAATGAAACAAGATTGATATACACAAATGAATAAGCTGCAGCTTTAGCATCCAAATATGCCTGTTACCAGCTCAAGGAATTAGATCCTAAAACACATTTCAGTGAACCAGAGCAAAACAAAAACAATATTATTGTTTAATCATCATCGTTGCAAATTTGCAATGCATCCACAGAAATCCTTTATCTATAAAGTCCACTAAATATATAAACGAAAGTTCAAACGGTGGAACCAGATGCTTGAGAACAGTGCAAACGAGACAATACACTGCTGCTTTCCAGAAATACACACACAAAAAGGAATATAACCAAAAACAAACGCAAATTAATGGACACACGCAAAGACAGAGGGAAGCAAGAGAGACCATCGGAGTTTTTGTTTTCATCCGGTGCGGAAGAGCGAGATGCTTTGTGATTCTCCTTGGATTTATACATAGACAAACGAGGATCTTTGGCGGCGAGCCCTCTGGTAGTGGTGGTGGAAGTGGAGGGAGACGAACGGTCCAAGTGCTTGTCCAAAGCCACATTCAGCTTCTTCCTGTCCGTCACGTGGCTCATCTCAGCCGCCGCTTTAGATCCGCCACCGCCACCGCCACCGCCACCGCCACCTCTTTTATCCCTATACATGTTGCTCTCCCCTCTGTCTCGGCACAACGAAAAATCAGAAATCAAGGAGAAAAGAGGGGCAAATTTTAGGGTTTTGTTCGGGAAGATGGGTTAAATTAGGGATTTGATTTTTGGGGGCGTCGGAACGGAGGATGAGGGCTATCCCATCCTTTACTGTGTTGTTCGCTTTTGTGATTGAAGATTTTCTAATTGGGATGGGACTGGGACTGGGTCACGGCATGGCTGCCCACTGAGGACTGCAACATATTCTTTCTTTGTCACGCCAAATAAACTATCTTTCCGGCCTTAACCAAACTCACCTTACAAAATAATACTACTATTTTGGTCTCATTTTATTTTTATGTCTAATTTATTATACATTCAAATTATTTCTAATTTATTTGTATGGGAATATTTAGACATGGGCTTGATATTGATAGGTTCAAGTATTAAAAAGGTTTGATTGGGTGTGCAAAGATGGTCTCTCCGTCACGCACAATGTCATGTCGGTGTACTATGATTGCTCAATTAAGCACGTTTAAAGAGAAAGCTTGCTCATGCAAGGAAGATCTATTTCGCATGCAAGGATGGTTTGTCGCTAATGCAGTTCGAATGGAAAAGCAACTTTGGATGTCGATTTCTATGTTGAAGTGTTATATCGAAAGTTACCGTGTATTTCTAAAAATAAG